GGCCTGTTTTTCAGTGTAGTCCTGTTTCTCTGACTGTGACTGGCTGGATGTGTTCTCTTCATCCTCTGACAGAAGAGCTGGCTGGGAACTCGTCTGCCTGGCTTGGTGTTTCCTGGACGGAAAGCCTGTGGAGCTGGTTGCTAGTTGCCTTTTGTATCTGTGCCTCTTTTTCTATGTCTGCTTCTGTTTCCTTGAACCCCAGTTGGTCTCAGCAAATGGCTGCTCACACTAAGCCTGGTTCTGCTGGAGATTTCTTCCTGTTAAAAGGGAATTTTCCTCTCCACTGTCGCTACATACATGCTTGCAAGTTGAATTGTCTCTGTAAAGTGTGTCATGAATTTCTGTTTATTTATTTATTCAAACTGAACTAAACTTGATTTCTTTTCTAATGTTCTTCAACACATCCTTCACCAAACACCTAGATTTATACTGAATAAATTTTTCCACTGAAATACTTGGGATATGTTTTGTTCTGTTATTTTATTTTGTTTTGTTATTTTATAGCTCAGAAAAATCAATAACATTTACCAATGAATTTTTTTGAAAACTGCACTACACCTTCAGTCCAGCAGGTGGTAGAAAGTTCACCCCACTTTACTCTTTTCCACTCTTATTCCTTCCTCTGCTCCGATACTTCATAAAATCCTGAGGCACATTTCAGTGCAGTGTGAACTTGATGGACTGACTGAAGAAAGAACATTTTGAGGTCCACTTTCTGGCTATAAAGCATCTTAAAATCACTTTTTTGTTAAAAATGAATGTAATAAAAAGCTGCATATGTAAACTCACCTCTTTCCTGATTCGTTGGTGCAGTGGTTTGTTAACTTACTGCTAACCATGGTAAATTAAATCACCCCCTGGGCTCGGCCTCAGGCTTTTCTCAAGCAGTGAAGAAGAGGTCTGAGATTGAGCTAGGTGATTGAACAGGTGGAGTTCAAAGGTCAGCTGGTTGAAATAGATTCTTATTTGGGGTAACAGAGTAAAGGGGGGGCAGCCTTCATACTTTTTTAGATAAAACATCGCATGGAAAACAATTGCCTTTTCCTTCATTTGGCAACTACTCATTACTTTGTGCTAATATTTCACATAAAACCTGCAGTTACTGTCTTTTTGTACTAACATAACTTTAGGCAACTGTTGCAAACTTGAATTAAATTCAGACCATAAGGGATCAGGTCAAGCATTGGGGAGATTTTCAGAAAATAAAAATAACAGGAACAACATCCCTAATTGAATCCAATGAATTGTGGATTTTTATTTGACAAAGTTAGAATTATCTCTGATTAATTTAGCAAAGAACTAAAATAATTCATGTAAATTATGTATATGATATGTGAATTTATTGATTTAATTTTATGGTTATTAGAACTTTAGTCAGTACAAAACAGCTGAGTTTTAATTTGTGTGGCCTTACAAACCTTTATTTGTTTTTTTTATTTATTTTAGTCAACTTCAAATGAGATAATATGAGGTTTTAGCGCCGTGGAATAAAAGAATGATGAAAATTAGATGGGGCTGATTGTTTTTTCTTCTTTTTTGTATTTCTGTTGTTCAAACTAGCTGTCAGTAAATTGTCAGTAATATTTTTTTCACATTCAATGTATGATGATATCATCTAATTGCTTTTAAACTGTGTGAGATTTTTTTTTTTATTGATAAAACAAGTTGTTTGATCATGTTTTAGTAGAGCCACTTTTTATGCAGAGATCCTCCTCTATGCAGATAAGAGATCATTAATAAAATACTTTCAGTGTTTGTTTTTCCTTTTCATGTATGCTCAGATGTCAGCTGCCTCTCAGCACTTTATTCAGAGTTACACCTGCTAGGAAAACAGAGTCCCTGAGCATTACAGTTTAACTGACTGTCCTGGGGATAGAAAGATACAGTGGACTAATGACCCAGAGGTTTAATCATGGTGTTTACATGTATATCTCTGTTTTTATGTTTTGCATCCCAACCAAAGGGAGCACCATCAGTGCATCCTAGTCATCGTAACATATTTAGGTATCATAAACATAATAATCCCCTGTGCACAGCGTGACTGCATCTGTCTGCCAACTGCAAACATGTTCAGATTACAGGCTTAGATAGTTCAAACTTCTGGTAAAGCTGTTGCATTCAAATACTATCATTTCTTTGCTAAATTTAAATCATTGCAACTTTCGTATTCCAATGTCTGCCCGACTTTTTAGTTTTCAATTCGTTTATTTTAGGCAAAAATAGCAGAATCATTTACAAAATATTTTTAAGAGATTTTCATCCCTCTTCCATTATTATAGAAAAGAACCTATTGTACCAACTTTATGTATAAAGTACTTTAAAACTACCACAGAAGAAACAAAGTGTTTAAAATACCTTTAAACTAAAAAACATTTATTATCTATGCAAAATAATAACACTTTAACGTACATTAATACAAAATAGATTAGTACAAAATCATTAATTTCAAAATATAAATTTAGATATGCTATATTCTCAATTAGGACTGTTAGGAATCCAGTTTGTGTGGGTTGTTTTGTGTTTGTCTCTCCCTCCACCACCAGGTGGTGCCCTGTCCTCGTTGGCCCTCCTGCACACCTGTGGCTCGTTGGTTGATCACTGGGGAGTATTTGAGCCGTTGACTGCCACTACCTCGACGCCAGAGTATTTGCCAGTTTTGGGTAGTCTAGCCAAGCCGTGATTAGCTGAGTCTAACCTGTGCTTCGTTTCTCTGAGTCTAACCGTGTTTTTGTCTTTGCAGGAAGCCTTCCCGCTGTTTGGAAGTTTTGGCCTTCTCCCCCAGGAAGGATATTTTGTGTTCACACTGAGCTGGGGAAATGTTCCACATGATCCGTTCAAGTACCGTCGGAAATCTACGTGGCAGTCCGCTCTCATACTCCTCAGGGTCCAACTCCACCAACCTGTCCGCCCTCCAACGAGTTGCTCTCCCTCATGAAAACTTACACATTTTGGATTCAAGGCTTTGATTGAGATCCCCTCCTACGTGAGCCCCTTTTTTCTCCATGCTCAAGAACTCTATTCTGTTTCCTACGGCCATTAAACTAACCACTGTGAACTTCTCTTCCACTTCTATTTCCGGTTCAACAGCTCTCTCTGAGTTCAAGATTCTACCTCCTGTTGTCCTCATCAATAAACACATTAAACTTTCCCTTGGTTCTCTGAATGTTTTTCTGCATGTGGGTCAGATCCCTTAAAGCATCATGCCAAAGACACAATTGTTTTATCAAAAACAAAGGAGCATTCTCCAATATTTGTCTTTAGATTTCAACAGAGGTTTTGAACAAAATTATCTTCATCAGGGAGCAGACTAAACCCTGTCTTTGATACAAGGGATTGCGCCTTGAGTCCAGGAAATGGAGCCCAGGCAGAAGTTCAACTGAAGAAACTGATTGCTCTACGACACAGCCAATCAGCTTTGAACCACACCTTCACGAA